TTGAGCGCATGGGCTAAAATAAGCCCTCCCCAGATAATAAGCCCAATCAGGGATTTGAGCGCATGGGCTAAAATAAGCCCTCCCCAGATAATAAGCCCAATCAGGGTTTTGAGTGCATGGGCTAAAATAAGCCCTCCCCCCAAAATAAACACTCCCTGGAAATATTGCAACACAGCAGCAGCCAAGAGGTGACCACGCTCCTCGCTTCCTGTGCCTCAAAAATAATAAGACCTCCCCGGAAATAAGGCCAAGCGCTTATTTCAGGGGTCAACAGAAAATAAGACCGTGTCTCGTTTTCGAGGAAACATTCTACCTGCGTAAAGGATGCTGTCCAGGCGGTCCAAGATGTGGTTGTAGGCAGGATTCTCCACCACACTGTCAACCTGCCAGAGGTAAGAAGAAATGACTTCTCTCTGTGGACCAACACTGGCTCTCTCTCTTTGCCAGGCCACCAAAGGCTGGCACAGTGCCTGTGGCTGAATAACTGGCTTCATGTGGGGCAGAGAAAAGAAGCAGGGATCAAGGGATAGGAGAAGGCGATTAAATAAACTGCAAGCTCACTCTGTTTGCTTGGCACTGTGGCCGAAGGTTTACCAAGGAGGCAGTTTTCATTCAGGAAAGAAGGTTCTGTGGCACACAGGAATTTTCGAGGCCCCAGAGAGTTTCGGGCAAATCAGGAAGGAATTAGGCAGGCTTCTTTAGATGGGAAACCGATGCCCTCGGCTACGTAAGTCCACGTGGAACTCACTCATGCCTCCTTTAGAGCACCGACTCTGCTCGTGGTTTTTGAAGCGCTTTGCGGTGTGACTTCTGTTAAAGCGCCCTGAAGGCCAGTGGTGGCTGCGTCCCTCTTTGTCAGCAGGGGAGCCTAGAGCTTAAGTGACCTAGTCTGTACGGAGAGCTTTCCTGGGCCTTCCCTGCCAGAAACTCTGGAAGGACGTTAATCAACATGGCATCTGTATGTTTCAGGGGTCGGTAGGGATGGCACGTGGCTGTCTAAGGAATGCCTGGCGCAAGGCAGCAGGGAGGGATCCTGAAGTGGCCAAGGAGGGTAGTGTGGAGGGTGGAAGAACCAAGGAAACGCTAGGCAGCACCATCTTCACCCAGCAGAAACTCACCTCCAGGAAAATGCCTAGCACCGCCAGCCCATCCGGTTGGTGTTTGGCCACGCTCAGGTTGGCATACTTCTCTGAGTTGAAGTGGACCACATGAAGCTGAGGGAGAAGACAAAGAGTTAGAGGGCAGGGAGGAAAAGCTTCGCGACTTTATCGAAATGTGGTGGAGTTGGGATTTCTTCTTGCGGGCCGCAAAGTCGGCTTTTCCGACTGTGGAAAACAGCCCCATTCCCCCTGCATATGGTGGGCAGAGGGATCTGTTAGGGGGAAAGTGCCTTAGGGAGGAAAGAGAAATCACAACACACCAGTGATGAAGGAGGGGACGCAACCGACAGTGGGATTTCACGGAGTAAGGATCAGCGGGATCCACGGTGCCAGAGTCCCACGGATATTGGAAGGGTCCAGGCCAGTCCATGCAAAATGGGCACAGAAAAGTGGCTCCTTCAGAAGAAAAGGGCTGGGCGCAGGGGAGGGCTGCGTGCACTGGGCTTTCCAGACGGGAGAGTCGCCAGAGTTCCCAGCCAGCCTCGATGGACATTCTGGGTGTTGCCGTCCCCAGATTCCTCCAGCAGAACTGGGCTTTCCCTGTGGCCCTGCTCTCAACTGCGGCCAAAGGAGGCAGAGTGTTGGGCCAATCCAGCCACTGTTGGCTCCCCCGGGGCTGCCTGCGCGTAAGTGCTGCTGACCTACCTCTGCTGGGAAGGCTTGGCCGTCCACAAGGTGCTCGGAGCCCCCGGCCCGGCTGTTGCTGCTGCCCCCCCAGTGTAAGTGCAGCTGCGCTGCTGAGTAGAGGCTGGGCAGGCCGTGGAGGTGCAGGTTCTCGGGGAGGGAGAGCTGCACTGTGGAGGCAGAGAGCACGGAGCCTCAGCTTGCTGCCAGCGGGGAGGAGGAGGAACACTGCCACAAAGCAGATCTGTGGCATGGTGCTCTTTCTAGAGTTACTAGCCCTCAAGAGGGGGGGGGAGGGAGGGAGGGAGGCAGAAAAGAGTCTTCTCAACCTCTGCACCATAAACACAGCAGCTGCTCCTGTGAATGTTCTCACCCGTGTGCCCGTTGTTGGTCAGGGTCAAGGAGCCGCTGCCAGGGTCTCGGTATCCCTCTGGCTCAATGGGGGGCAGAGAAGGATCATACTGGACCAAATCTGTCTGGAAGTCGAGGGGCGACTGAGCCTGCCAACCACAGTCTGGGAATCTCTCTGCCCAGTGCGTCTGCCCCTCGGAGCCTGGAAAAAGAGAAAAGGCTCATGGATCCGGGGTGCAGAAATCTTCCCCTCTCATAAAATGTTTCCTCCCCCTATTCCGGAAGTGCCTTTTTTTTCCAACTGGAGACTTCGAAGGGCCTTTCTGGAGCACCTGAAGGACCGTGGGAGGCTTTGTCAGCGAAGAGGCATGTTTGAGTAGCCCTTCCCGACTTTGTGGCTGCATTTGCAATTCCGATGAGCAGAGGAAGACATTGCTTGTAGCTGTTTCTCCTTACCTTCGTATGTCCAGTGGGAACCTGCAGCAGAAGGGCAGAGGAAGAGGCCCTTGGCTGACAGCTCCAGGTGTGGGGGCGCTTCCGTCCTGGCAGAAAGAGCCCACAGCAAAGAAACCCACCCGTGAGCTGCACGACTAGATCCTTCACAAGGGGAGAACCCCACGCCCGCTTCCACAACAGGCCGCCAGGCGACCTTGCAGCCACCAGGGATAGGAGAGCAGTTGCTCCCTCCTGGCTGTGTCCGTGGGAGCCCCGCTCTTAAAGGCAACGTCCCCGGCCATGGCGCCATGTCCTGACCCTCCTCCTCCCCCGTGCTGGAATTCTGCCCTTCACTTCAGAAAGGAGCTTTGGGAGAAAGAGCAGCTAATCTCCAGAGGCCTCAAAGCGTTGCCAACTGGCACTGCAAGACCAGCCTCCCACCAGAGCTTTGAAATAAGGGGCTGCTTTTTTTATCTAGCCCCTTCCTCTCTCTTGAAAGAAGGAAACCTAAGTTGATACACTGGAGAAAAGAGCCTGAATTCCTCCACCCCGAAAAAGGGCAGCTGGCCGTGAGCAGGCCTGTCGCCTCCTGAAGGCTCGTGAGCTGCTGCTAAATTTACTCTGGCTGGTGGCGTGAATACGTGTGTTTGACCTCCCCCCCCAGAGCCAAGAGGAGTCCCAGAGCTGAGATCCCTCCAGTGCTGCCCGTGTCTCTCAGAGGGCCCGGGGGCCTGGCCCGGCACACAGCCTCCTCCTCCTCCTCCTCCTCCTCTTGCTCTTGGCACCCCTGTTTAGGCCTGGCTTGAGGCCCTGGCTTCCTGCCCCCCCCCCTGCCAAGGAGGCTCATCCTGTTCTTTTCCCCCCTTCCCTGTGGCCGAGGCAGGTGTGAGGCCGCCATTTCCTTGCCCTCCACTCCCCTTGAGCTCCACCCGGATGGGCCTGCCAAAAGGTCTTGTGTTTGAGGCCTCGGATAGAGTTTGGGAGTTGTCAGCCCAGACGGCAGAGTGGCCGAGTCCACGAGCCACGGAAAACCGATCATGCTGTAGAGCGACAAAGAGTTGAGGCCGATGGATGGATCTGATGAAAAGTACTCTCTACCCAAAAACCTTTGGCATAATTGCCTTGTCTCTGTGCTTTCTCCCAAAGGCAACTGGACTTTCTTGGGTCCCCCCCCCCCCACGAAAAAGTTTTGCTTCTCATCCAAGAAGCTTCTTCAGTTGTAGAAAGTCCAATTGCCTTTTGGAAAAAACACCTCTGGCTTAGCCTTCAAAGCTTCCAAGAGAGACTCATGCTAATTCCCTACCTGAAATCTTCTCTTATTGCAAATGGTTGTATTCTCTAAAAACTGAATTCTTTTCTTACTACTCTGTTTTCCTCAATCTTTCCCTTTGTCTTGGGCCCTTCAGAAACTTTCTTTCAAAAATAGTGTCCCTGTTATTGCTCCCAGGCAGCTTCTTGGTAAATATTTCTCCAGGATTGTTACTCTCCCATTTTATCAGAGTATTTTCAGCTTCATTCATTCTTACAAGTAAAAGGCTGATAGATCCTTCCAGAAGGCACTGCGAGTTCTACAGCTTCTGGGAGTCCTAACCGAACGGAAGAGAAAGGAGGGCAAGCTCTCTATGGACCTTCCTCCCCGCAAAGAGCAAAGAGTAGAGTTGTTTGCAAACTTTGCCAGTGCTCCGTCCAAAGGATTCCTCTGAGAACGGGGGCTCCCTTGGCTTTCAGAGAAACAAATAAGCGTCTTTTAAAAGAAAAATTAAAATGCCTCAGCAGCCCAGAATGGTTACCAGGGATAGCTGCATTGTTGTGTCCATCGGAGTCTCTGCCAGGGAAAGCCCCCCCCCCCCAGCTGCCTAATTGCAGTGGGTCCCCCTGCAGAAAGGAAGAAACAAAGGGCTGGGAGGAAAAAGAGAAGCGCCACTTACCCCCACTTGCAGCCAGGGCTTGGGAGAGAGCTTGCCAGAGGGAGAGAACTAGCAACATCTTGGAATATCAGAAAAGGAGAAAGCAGGTGAAATGGGGGGAAAACTCCAGAGAAATGGACGGGTCCTGAGCCAAGAGGGGTCTCTGGTTGGAACCTTCCGCTCCCACATCTGCACCCCACTGCTTGCCTCTTTTCAGGGGAGTCAGGAGGTCCCCATTGGACACCGGCCAGAAGGCGGCCAATGCCATTTAAGGTGGCTCTGGGCAAGCCAGGCAGCCGGCCTGCGGCTGAGGACTCGGCTCCTTAAATCGCCCGTCCACCGGTCTGAAGAGTCCCAAATGTGTTTGGACAGGGGGGAGGGAGCTGGAAGAGCTTGGCTCCCCTTCGGCCTGTGCCAGCCAAGTGCCTGCGCAACAGGCGGCCCTTTTCATCTGAGCTCTCAGGCAGGCATGGGGAGAGGGGCTCCAGGGGATGGTCCGGAGGAGGCACAGCTTTGGCCTGGCTCAGAGGCAGGGACGGGGGCAAAGTAATGGCCATGCGCTGTTGAACTTCCACGCGTGGACACGCAGCACTTCAGCTGTTGCCGCTTTCTAATTCCATCTTGCACCAAAAAAGCGGTGGGGACCTATTGAGCACCATGGCTTGGTTGTGGCACCCCGGAGGCCCCGGCCTGGTCCTGGGGAAGCCTGGGTGGGGGGGGGGAGGCATATCCTGCTGCTATAAGAAGTCTCCCCCTCGTTGCAGCAGAGTTGAGGCTTGTTGCTGTGTACAGAATGTTGCCAAGAACTTGGGTACAAACTGTTTTGGGCAGGAGTCATTTCCAGTCTGGAGCTTCATGACCTGCAGATGTTTTGTTTCCCCCTCCCCCACCCTTGACTGTCTGGAAGGTGTTGGGATGGGATGTAGGGCGCATTAGCTGAATGTGCTTGTTGGCACTGTGGGAGTTAATAGCTGACTTGAGGTTCCGTGGATGTAGGAAGTGTACGCATTGCTAAATCCACAATGCATAGGGAAGAATAAAAGCTGAATTTCAAAGCGAAAGTGATTGGCAGAGAAAGGGTTAAGCACCCTCCCCCCCCCCCCCCAATGGAATAGGCTTTGTTGCTTAACTGGGGAGAACCACAAGGGCTGCTGGTGCCTGGAAAGGCAGCAGTCGGTGGAGCCACAGCAGTGGGGCCAAAGGTCCTTACAGCCACTGACCTTTTATTATCTTGCTGATAGAAGATTGGCCAAAAGACAAGCAGACGACCTCCCATGATGGCGCTGGGGAAGCAGACAGGCAAACCCAGGAAACTCCCCCCCCCCCCAGTTTGGCCTGGACCCCACCAGGTCCCTCTTCTGTGCTGGGTTTCTGCCAGCCTGAGACAGAGCAGGTCATGGTGACCCAGTTACCCACCCAGTGTTTGCCTGATTGCGCCAGGTTGTGCAGTGGGGGGAAAGCCTGGCAAGGGAGCCCTTTCCCAGCCAGGCCAGGAAAGGCAAAGCAGCAGGTCTCCCCTCGGCTCAGGGCAGGGAGGGAGGCAGCCAATCCCTTTGGCGAAGGCGCGGAAGGAGAAAGGGGGAGCCTGCCTTGATTTCTCAAGCCAAAGGAGCAGCCTGTTAGGTCCAAACTCTTAGCCACGGGACACGGGTTTATGCTGTGGAACCCAAACTCTGCTAGTCAAGGTTAAAGCCAGGTTCTCCAGGCGCTTTGATGGAGCCACTGGCCCTTTTACCTATTGGGGAAGCTGGAGGTGTGAACGTAACCCTCAGTGAAACACAAACGCAGCCTAGACTCGAACATTGCGCCAGCGTTCCACGTATTGGAAGGAGAGGAAGGGGTTGCTTTGTGGGCATTTCAAGCAGATGGCGCCGGGGCGCTTTGGGAAGAAGGCGGGTTCCTGCTCTCTTTCCCGGGTGGAGGCGCCTTCGATTCGCGCCGCTGCGGTCTCGCCTCCACTAAATCGCCTAATCCCGATTAACGCTAGTGACGATCACGGGATGTTCGGGGCAGATTCGAGACTGTGCGTCCCCGAAGGCGAAGCAACACGAGAGCCGACTGCGGGTTGCGTAGCGGGCGGGACGGGGCTCCGCTGCTCCGTGTGGAGCGCGCGCCATCAAGAGGGTCGCCGGCGGGCTTCCCGCAGGGATGGAGCCGGTGGGCAGTTCCTCCCCAGCCGGATGAAGGGAGGTTTGCCAGCAGGCGCGCCGCCTTCGCTGCCTCCTCCGTCCCTCTCCAGCGACGCGCGCCGGTAGCGGCCTGGTTCTGAACCGCCTTCCCTCCCGAGGACCTTCCCGCCAGGTGGGCCGGGCGGCGGATCCCATCCCCACAGTCCCGCGAAACGAAAGCCCGGCGGAGGCCGCTTTGCACGCCGCTGCCACGTGCGCGGAGACGCGCCCGGAGAGACACGGGGCGGCCCACTCGCCTCCCGCCCGCCGCTGCCCCGTGCCACCCGCCTGTCGCCCCCTGCGCCTGGCCGAGGCCCCTCCAGCCAATGGGCGCGCGGCCCGACCCCCGTTGAGCGGTGCCCAGCCAATGGGGCGCCGGGGCCGCGGCGCCTTCGGGGCGGGCCAGGAGGGGCGGGGCCTTCGGGCACGTGCGGAGCCGCACATGGCCTCGTGGTGCGGCCCCTGAGCTGGCCTCGCCTTCCCGGCAGCCGTCACTTCGTCGGAGCCGCCCGGAGCAGCCGGTGGGTAGTGGCGGCGCGAGCCTTTCCGTCCCCCCCTCCCGATTTTCCAACGGGGATTCGGGGTCGGAGAGCGAGGCGGGCGGGAGAGGGGCGACCCCCTCCGGGGCATGTGCAGAGTGCGGTGGTCCCGTCTGGAGGGTGGCGGCCGCCCTTGCCTTTGGGGAGCGATCGGCGCTCTTTTTTCCGGGGCGGGAGCGGGTTCGCGTGGGACCTCTGGGCGAGCGGGGTCGCAGGCTGGGCGAGGGGACAGGAAGTCAATCCGGTTCGCCTTTGCCTTTTGGAGACGGCGGCAGGGCGAGCTTGGGACTTCGGAACGCAGCGTCAGTCCTTGTCCAAGGCGGCTCTGGAGCTGGCGGTTACCCGGAGAGCTCCTGCGAGGCCGTGGAGAGGGAGGTGGGCTTCTTGGCCAGAGACGTCCCCGAACTGTGCGGAGGCGGCTTACGAGGGCTTTCGGGTGCGGTGGCCGTTGGGGCTTCGGGGGCCTCCCTCTGGCTTCGAGGTTTCGCTGGCTTCGCACCTCCCGCGAGTTTCGCGGACGGCCGCTGAGGGCTTCCGGGCCTCTCGGTGTTTGCGCCCTTTGGGGCTGCTGGGCACCGGCTCGACGGGCAGCGCACGCAGCGTGTGCGGGGTCGGCATCTGGACCGGCCCTGCGGAGACTTGGCTTCCAGCGCCTCGCTGGAGAAACCCGCGGGGTGACTTTGGGCGGTTGGCGGTCAGGGTGGCGGCGGCGGCGGCGCCGAAGGGCGGGCGACCTGGAGCAGCTCCAATACATCCACCGTTTCCTCTGTCCTCTCCCCCCTCCCGCTTTCTCCCCGGAAATGGACACGCAGCGCCTTTCCCTGAGAACGGAGAACGGCTTTCCCCCGGGAGGAGGGTGCAGAAGACTCCGGCATGTCGCACTTTGCAGGGCCTGGAAGCGGCCAGGCTTGGGAGCTGCTTGGCTGGGCTGCAGCGCTGACCCAATGGCCAGAAACTGCTCCCTTCTGGAGGTTCTGTTCTGCCTGGCTGCTGCTGGGAGGGCTGGCTCAGCAGAGCCAGGGTGGGGGCTTCTCTCCCCTGCAGCCTTGGTGACGCTGCTGCTGAAAGGAACAGGAGGGGGGCTCTCAGTTCCAGAAAGGGAGGGGGGTGGGGATGTCTTGAGCAATCCGTAAATGCCTTCTTGTCTAAGTGCCTGCGGAGGGAAGCCAGGCTGATGGACATCCCCTCCCTCTCTTTTAGCAATCGAGAATCTATGGGTGACATGGACAAAAGAAGCTTCTCCTCCAGGGAGTCTTTCCATTCGGTGGAAAGTGCCACCAGCGAAGAGGAGGAGGGCGAGGAAGAGCAGCTCCTGTCCCCAAAGGGGAAGTTCAGAATCTTCCTTCTGGATGATGGGAAGGAGGCGAAGCTGCCGAGACACCGTTGCCTCCAGGGCTCAGGATTCCTCCTCTTGCCAGGTCTCCCTGGCCAGGGACCCAAGCGGCCCCTTGGATTGCAGCCTCCTGGCTCTGCCTGCCTCCATGGCCCAGAGGGCCCCAAGGAGACTCTCTGTAGCCGCCGGGTCAGTCCAAACGGCAGCCTGCCTGGGCAGAGGGTGAAGCGAAAGAGGGCCGAGGGTAGTGGTGGTTGTACACGCCAGAGCAGCGCCACAGGAGGCAGCCGCCCCCCTCCATGCCCCACCGCATCTGTGCCATCGCCTGGGATAAAGAGGCCACGGAGGAAGGAAGCGCTGGCAGCGGAAGAGACCCCGCGCTGGTCTTCCAGTGGGACGGAAGGGGACCAAGCCTTTGCACAAAAGGTGAGTCCACGGGCAGCCCCGGAGGGAGGAGGATGCCCAACTAGGGACTGGGAGAGCTCTCTCTGTGAACGCAGACCCACCAAGAAGCCCCTGGGCCTGATGGTTAGCCCACGGGTGAAAGGGAAGAATCCACTGGGGATTTGGTGAGCAATTGTCACCAGGCTGAAAAGGATCGTTTTCACTCGGCAGAACAGCTGTCTGGTTTGCTTTTCATAAGGAGGCGCCAGTCGGTTCACCTTGAGACCTTGGAGGTGGCTTGGACAGGGCAGCTTAGAGAGGGAGGAGTTCTGCTAGTAGAGTGGCCATTTGGGCTCAAGCTGCGGATAGGTGGTAACCTCATGGCCAGAGTGCCCCTGCTGACCCAGACAGTGGCTCTGCCTGTATTGCTTTATGAGAAAGCAACAGATGCAGGAAGAAACATCAACTGTAGTCTTCCGTTCATCCCCAGATTCTTGTTTTATTTTAAAATCTTGTTGTGCAGCTTTTCACTCTTGTCCTCCATGTTTGCAGTGCTGGGAACTCCAAGGCTTTGTCCGCCCCCTGTCGGAGCTTCTGAATCGCTTGAAAATGGGCTGCTTTGACCAAGGTTAGGAGCAACAGGCGCACCTGCCTGGGTGCCTTGATGGGAGCGAAATGGGCTGGACAGCCTGGCAACCGGGGAATTAGCAAGCTGCAAGTGTGGCCTGGAAGGGGAGCCCGGTTGGATGCAGCCATGGAGATGCACGATTCCAATATTCCCATTACAGCGGGCCCTTCATAGAGAAGCTTGGGGTGGGGACGGGGACATCCCATTGTAGTTCAGAAGCCTCTGAAGCACTGAGTTCTTGCACAGCTCAGCAGGTTGTCTTGGAGATCAGTTACTTCTCCTTTACAACCAGAGCTTCCAAAAGGGATGGCCTCTATTGAAGTTTTTGGCCTTCTTTGCTATTCTTGCCCCCCACCCCTCCCACAGACGGGAAGTCCCCTCCCACAGACGGGTGGGTGTTGGAATTAACAAGCAATGTGGACAAGTCATAGAGAACTGAAGAGATGATGGCCTGCCCGTCACCCTTTCACCGGTGCAGTCCGATTCTAGGCAGCAGGCAGTTGGGGGGGGGAAAGGTTTGAGGTCTGTCACTCTAATCCATCCAATCCTAGCAGCCACGTTTATGGAGCTTCCTGTTTTGGCACCTTGCAGGTCTAAGCAGTTTCCAGCAGAGCGTGGCCATGGATCGGATCCAGCGGATCATTGGTGTCCTTCAGAAGCCTCAGATGGGGTAAGGGTCTCCTTTGCTGGCCAGGGCTGCTCAAGCCTCCTAATTTAGCCAGATGCCTTAACCGTCTCCCGCTGCGCTATTGCAGTTCTGAGACTTGCCTTGTCAGAAGACACTTCGGGTGGGGCCCCCTCTGGGCTGCATTTTGCAAGGGAAGAGCCTTTAAAAACAGTGCTGTAGCTTTCCTCGTGTGTAGATGCGGAAGAACCTGGAAGCCTCCACTGCGTATGTTTATGTGTGTCTGGTTTCATTTCCCCTCGGCCTCCAGGGGGCGATACCTGGGCATCCTGTTGCAGGTGGAAAAGATGCTCAAGATCTGGTTCCCTCACGTCCCCTTGAAGGACTCCCAGGCCAGCTACAGTGTGTCAGCTAGGGGGCCGTGTGGGGCAGCAAAGGTGAGTGCCAGGATCCCTTGGTTCTGCCCATAATGCCCACTGACATTATTGTAGATATGTAAACCCTTAGCCTGTGGAGTTGTAGGGCCTGGGTGGCTTTCTCTGGGGTGATCTCTCCTTTCTGTGCAGAGAGGGCTTCTCTCTGAAACTAGTAGGAGCGGTGGTTAGAATGCAGTATTGCAGGTTAATTCTGACTGCCAGCAGTTCGGCAGTTTGATCATGACCGACAAGGTTGAGTCAGGCTTCCATCCTTGAGGTGGGTAAAATGAGGACCCTAATTGTTGGGGGCAATAGGCTGACTCTGTAAACCACTTAGCGGGCGAGGTAAAGCACTGTGAATCGGTATCTAAGTCTAAATGCTACTGCCATCCTGTTGAAAGGGTTTTTGGGGATCCTTACACTCAGCTTGATTTTCCACCATCTCTCACAGTCCCGCTGTGTAGAAGAACAAATCACGGGAAGCAGAAGCGCGTCCATCCAAGATGACATGCTGAAGCCTTTCTCGGACGTCTCTTCCTTAGAAGACCATGATGTTGGCACTCGGCAGGGAGAGCCGGTGCCCATGGGCAACGGCCCTGCTCTGAACCTGTCCTGGATTCACACGTTGCCCTTGAACCCTCTCTTGGGACAAGTAGACTTCAATCAGATAAACTCTGTGCTTGGGCAGATCTTGCTGGGGCCAAACGCAAGCAATTGTGGAGTGGTTTTCTTTCTCCAAAAGGTTATGTTTACACAGGCTGCTTCCAAGACTCTGGAACACGGCTGCCCTCCTGGCATGTTGTTCTCGGGCTCAGGGGAGCCACCTCGCTGTCAAAGCTTGCCTGGTGTCCTGACAGCAAGCTGCTCTGCCCCCTCTCTTGGTCGCCTCTCTTTGTTGCTGCCCCACCTGTCTGGGGAGAAGCTGGAGAGGAGTGAAGCGTCTGTAGGAAAACCTGTGAAATGCTGCAGCTCCTGATGCCCCAGAAGATGAGTCTCCCTGGACATACAATTTTTCCTCTTCTTCACAAACTTTTTAAAAACTGAAATATTTCACATATGTTCAAGAGAAAGCAGAACTGTACTTGCCCCCAGGGTGGAAAACTTTAGTTTCAATAAAGACGCTGCCACAATGGCTGTTGATGAGGTTCATGAGGTTTTTCCCATCCTTTAGATATTTATCTTCGTGATCTGATGCTAAACTATATGCTCTTGGGCAAATATGGTGCAGGCTCTGGCCCCGGTATGCCCACTCTTCCATAAGGCACCAAGACAATTTAATAATTTACGATTAAAAAAAAAATCCTCTCATTCGAAGAGGGAATCCTGAGACCCATCTTACATTCTCTTTTCTAGTTAAGACATCGAAGTGTTGGAAGAATAATTTTGGATTCCACATGCCAGGAGTGACGCGAGAGTAAACAAAAAATGAACTTCAGGCATACTGCAAGAAAGGAGATTCATTTCCTAAGAGCAAAAAGATTTGCATTTTGGGGTGGAGTACAGAGAAAATGGGCTGGGAAGGCATGGTTTCATAGGGGGACTGGTCCTTGGTGCGAGCAAGGGTGTGTGTGTGGTTTGTATACATGCTGGTTGGTGTGCAGATTGCTCCCTATCTGGGCTTTGATCCTGTACGAAATCCAGGAAGAAAGGTTGCCCTCAGATTCCACCGCTGGTGTCTCCCTTTATCCCGGGGAAACCCCTGAGGTCATCAGTGGGATCCTAGTATGTTTATTCGGGGCAGACCAGAGAGCTACTAAAAGGAGGGTGGGCAGACCAGAGGCCTCGTGTCCATGGGAAGTTGTAAGAGGGAAGCTGATCAGACAAAACAGAAGTAGATTCTCCTCTGCATAGGAAATCAGTTACATGTCATGGAGGTTCCACGTATCAGGGGTCCTTGGTGCTCTTGAGCTGCTTTTGTTATGGACGTTTCATTACTCAACGAGGCAGCAGGATCAGCGCTGCGGGGTGCATGGACGTCCCTTTAACTTTAACTGACGAAAGAAGGGGCAGGACATTTTAAGATCTCAATGAGGGAAAAAAAGGTCATAAAAGCCATTTTAAAAAGCCCGCGGGGGTGGGGTGGGGGGGTGCTTGTCTTCTCCCCGGACAAAGCAAGGGAAGCTCCGCTGGAGACTGGCAGCTTCTCACGCAGGGGGACGATGGGCCGGCAGAGCCAAACGGCGATGAACCGGCGCCCCCTTGTGGCGATGCCCAGAGGCGGCAGGCGAGGCGCCCTTCGCCAGCGGGGAAACGGCCAGACACCCGCGCCTTGGGATCAGGGGGCCGCGGCGGAAGAGACGCGGGGGCGAGGGGTGGGGCAGCGGCCGCTCACGGAACCTTTTCGCGGGGCTGACCGCGTTGCCACCGCGACCGGAGCGCCATCCTCCGGCGGACGCTTCCGCTTCCGCCCAAATCCCCGGTCGAGAGGCGCTTCCCGGCCCCTCCGGAGCTCCGCCGGGTGGAGATGGCGCACCACGCCAAGTTCCTCGCCCGGACCGTGATGGTCCCGGGCAAAGACGTGGAGCTGGCCTACCGCGTCCTCACCAGGTAGGAGCGCCTCTGCGTCCCCTTCGACCGAGGCTTTGGGCGCCCCTCGCAGGAGCCCGCGGGGCAGCGCTCGGGCCACTCGGCGGCCGGGAGGGAGCCCCGCCAGGCAGGCACAGCAGGGCGCGCCCCAGCGCCTCCTGGAAGCGCCTGCGGGCTCTTCAAGGACGGGCGCTTCTTGACACGCGTCGGCTTCCTTTCGGCCCGAGGGGTCAGCAGGGCGGGCGCGGAAGCCCCGGGTTTGGGGCTGCGGCTGGGCGAAGGCTCGGCTCCCTTCAGGACGGCCAGCGGCTGCTCAGCGCCCGTGTCAAGGCGAAGGCTGCGTATCTGCCGCCCAGCCGCCTTGGAAGCGGCGAGTGCGGCGTGGAAGCCGACACGGGTCCCGTCTGAATGGCAGCAGCAGGTTCTCCGCGGACAAGGCTGGGATCTCCCTCTGGTCTCAGCCCCCGCCGCCCCCGTGTCTTAAGCAGCCGCCTGTCGTCCTCGAGGGGACCCCGGCGACTGCGAGGAAAGCCCTGCCGGTCAGGCGGAAGGAAAACCCATCCCGATCCAAATGGGCGCTGGGATCTTCCCTTTCCCTAGAGACGGTCCCTCCTTGGATTGGATTTATTTCATTTATAGGCCGCCCTTTTCCCCGAAGGGGACTCAGGGCGGCTCACAATTCAATTCCTTCCCGTCCTCCTTCTCCTCCTCCACAGAGTCCTGACGGTGGACGGGATCATCGACCACGTGAAGCGCAAGCGCTACTTCGAGAAGCCTTGCCAGAAGAGGCGGCGGGAGGCCTACGAAGCCTGCCGGAGGATCTATAACTCGGAGATGGGCAAAAAGATCAACTTCCTCATGAGGAAAAACCGCGCGGACCCTTGGCTCGGCTGCTGAGCGGACCCTCCTCGCTCGCTCCCTTCTTTCTCCCAAAGGCTCTCAATAAAGTCCGTGTTGTGAAGCCCCCACCGCCTCCTCTCCGCGGCCTTCGGCGCCGCATCCCGAGCGCGCACCGGGGGAGGGGGGGAGGGAGGGAGGGGGGAGGTCCGGGCCTGGGGGGGGGGCGGGGAGGCCTCTGCGGGGCGTCCGGGTTCCTGGGGAGGAACAGTAACCGAGGCGGCTGCGGAAGGGAGAGAGTGGCGCTGAAGCTGCAGCCAAGCGCGCCCCCTGCTGTCCGCGGGGCGTCAGCACGCTTGCGACTCAGGTGGTGGCCTCCAGGAAGTCCCGCCCCCGGGCCACAGGGCGAAGTCGCTGGTCAGGCCAGTTTCCGCTTCCGTTCCGCGCGCCGCCAGAGCCGACGTTCCGCCTCCGTCGGCCGCGAGACCCGCGGCCTTCTCCTTCCCAGGCGCGGAGGGAGGCCGCCGGTGAGGAGCCGCCTCGGGCCCCGCTTCCCTGGGCAGGAGGGGAGGAGAGCGCGGGGCGTTGGCCGTTCAGAAGCGGCGGCCCCTGCGAGGGCGGGGAGCGGCGCCGCCAATCCCGGCGTGGGCGAGCGCCCGTGCGGCCGTCGGAGCCGCGGCCCGGCGGGACGAGTGGGGCCTCAGGGTGGGTGGGGCGCCTCCTCCTTTCCCTCTCGGGCCTTTGCAGCCGCGACCCTCTTTCCCCCGCAGCGCCCGGCGGAGCCTTCCTTCCCAAGATGGCGCTCTCGAAGCGGGAGCTGGACGAGCTGAAGCCGTGGGTGGAGAAGACGGTGAAGCGGGTCTTGGGCTTCTCCGAGCCCACCGTGGTCACCGCCGCCCTGAACTGCGTCGGGAAAGGGATGGACAAGAAGAAGGCGGCTGGTAGGTCTTCTGGGGGGGGGGGCTGCCAGGGAAGCCCCAGAGATCGGGGAGGGAGGGGAGGCGGCCGGCCCCTCAAACTCTGCCTCGGCCTGGCTGACCCGGGATGAAGCCGGGTGGTGGGGAGGGCTGGACCCGCTTCCCGTCCCTGGGGCCATCCGCTGAGCTGCCCTGGACACAGGATCAGGTGGTCGGGCTGCCCTTCTTGTCCGAGGGAAAGAAGGGGCGATTGTGGCGAAATAGCTGCCTGGCCTCCTCCTTCCCTCCAGGCAGCTGGGATGAACTCGGGGAAGGAGTCGCTGGTTTCAGAGGGGTTGAGGTGGTGTCTTTTGGGCTGCCTTGCTGCACTACTCTCTCCCCCCTCCCTCCCTCCCTTTCCCAGATCATCTCAAGCCCTTCCTGGACGATTCCACCTTGCGGTTTGTTGATAAGCTTTTTGAAGCCGTTGAGGAAGGGCGAAGCTCTCGACACTCCAAGTCCAACAGTGACCGAAATCGGAAGAGAGAATTAAAGGTGAGCTGAACTCATGCTTGTTTTTGCTATCTTCTTATTTATTTTGGAGAGGGGGGGAGTTGTCAGGAACTTCATTATATTTTATTCTTCTAGAGGGGAAAAATGTACCCTTTGGGTCTGTTTTCTTGGTCTTCTTGAGCCATGACCGCTCTGTCCCTTAATTCTGCAACCAGAAACCACCAGACCTCGTATAGTGGTGGTGATGAGAGCAGCTATGAAGTATCCTTGTTGTTGCTGCTGTTATATGAAATTAATTTGGACTGAAAACTGACCTTAGCTTGAGAACGCCAATAATGTAGGCCGTGGATTAAAGCACATAAACCCCACAGGAAAATGGCATTGTCTTGGTGCATGGGAGAGATGTACAGAAAACTGGCAAATGCATAAGCTCTTCTGGGCTGACTGCTGATTTTATTGGCCCCAAATCATTGCACATGATCACAGGGATTGGAAAGAGATCTGCTGGGGAAGGCATTATTTGTAAAGGATGTCCCAGGGAATTATATAGGTAGATCGGTAAGGCAGTATTTGGGGGGGGGGCAGCTCCCATCACCCGCAGCTGGCATAGCCAATGGTCAAGCATGGGGTGGATAGTTCCTCAAAACATCTGCATTGGATAGAGTCATATTCTGCCCCTTCAACATAATTTTGGGTACTGTGGTTTTATGGTTGCTTTGAATTGAATTACAGGCCCAGATGAAGCGGAAGCTGGGCATTTGTGCTTTGCTCTGTAAGGAACACGGTTATTCGGATCAGACTGAAGGTGCCCTTGGTTGATATTCTCCTGTGGTGACCAGCCAGGTCTTTCCCTTAGCATAGCAGGAGAACCTCTTTGGCTCTACCTCTGCAACCAAAACTGCACGGTAGACGGTCCCAGAAGGAATCGGTGCTCTTCCAGAAAATTGTGAAATCCTTTGCTTACGGCTTCTAATACATTTACTGTCACACATCTTGTCATGGCTAATTCGGGGGTCTTGCCTCATAGATTGGAGAAGCCCCTTCTACAGTCTGTCTTGAACTTTTGGATTGGGGTGGCACAGGGAATTAGCTGCAAGAGGATCTTTCTTGGAAGCAGCCAGTAGCCTGAGATTTATATCCAGTCTTTCTCTGTTTTTTCCTTCCCTAGTTCCACATTGTGGAACTTCTTCCTAGTTGTTATATTGACTGGTTTTGCATAGATGGGTTAATATCCTTTAGCACCTCTGGATGTCGTCTTTTCTCCTCCTCTGCTTTTTCTTGAGGTCATGTAGAAGCTGTAGTAATTTACAGGATGTATTATCTTCCAATCCCCAAAGACTGGGCTTTGAAATGAAAAAATGGCCTAGTTTTCTGATAGTTGGAGCCTCAGCCCGCCATTGTCCGGTGCTGGTCGGTCATTTGCCTTTCACAAGCAGCAGCGGTGCTTTAGACTCTCTTCCTTCCACACTTTCTCCTGTGCCGAGCTGCTCCTTTTTTCTTTATAATTGCGTTTCTGAGTACCTGGAAATTAAATAGGACCCTAGGTATAGAGTGGGGAATTCCTTTTCCTGCCCATCATTCATTCCAAATGCAAAGTCTTTCTAATCAGAGGGTAGCAAACTGCTCAAAAAGTCTCCCTACTCCTGGGGAACCCAGCCAGCCAGTTGCTTCGTTTTGAGTTGTTGCTCCAAAGATCTGCAAGTGGGATCCAAGGGCCAATAGAATTGGGGAATTCGGGTGGACAGGGCCAACTTACTTACTGAATGAACCCCATGATTCATTCTTGGTCGGCATCTCTTCCTCCAGAAACTGCCCCACCGGTTTTTAAGAAATTCTCTCCTGTTTCATTTTCTTGCCAAGAGATTCGCTCTTGCCTCCCCCCACCCCTCCCAAGTTCAGCAATTGAGAAAGAAAAGAAAAAGCTCTTCATTGGAACTCTTGTTAAACAACAGAAGAGGGGGCTATTTTGTACTCATCTCCATTGACCTGGAAAACCAGAACCGTTTCTTTAAATCACTGGCATCTAAAGCAAAGGCATCGGAGACTTCCCCCCCCCCACCCGTACATAAACTTCGGTTGCAAGACTAGTTTTTGTCCCGCCCTCCAGGTTGCTGTTCTCTTCTGAAAGGAGGAATCTGCATCTTTTCCCAGGAGCCCCCGGAGTGAGAGCAGTTGCCTTTCTTCCGTTCCTTTGAACTGGGCTTCTCTTGCAGGGACCTATCACGCTGCGGGGGGCATTCAGGGACTAAACTGCGGGGGTCTACACTCTTCATACTATGGGCAAGCCCTTTTCTCTTGAACTTGTAGGTGTGTCACGATGTGCCCTGATTTTGGACAAGGAACCGTCCCTGTAAAGTATGACCCAAAATAGCGAAGAAGGAGGTTCAGCTGTCGCTTGCAGATGGTTTGTATGCCTACGTTTTGATTCTCTTTGGGAGGAAGTAGCAGCCGTATGGCATGACTGGGCATTCCTCTCTGGCCTCTCCCTCTGGTCTCTTTCCACGTGGTGGAGAAGGAGGCGGCATCCTTTAGCTTCACCAGGGAAGATTTCTGCCCTTTCCTTTTGTTTTGCCTGCAAGAGATACGCTGATTGGCATAAAGCTTACCTCTTCCCCACAGTGTTTCTACTGCAGATAAAATCCCTCTGCAAGAATTAGCCCGATTCTGCTTCAGCTTCTCAGTCGTACGTTTTGGGAGACCACTTTTTCTGCATATTTATACTGGGTCCCAGTGCACTTTGACGGATCATGGGATAAAAATTATTTTGAGGATTAAAGATGAAAGGTGCTCTCTAAAAAGAATTTCTGCATTTAACACAATGTACCTTTTTTGGGAGGGGTATCTTTCTGATCTTGTACATGCGGGAATCCTCTTGTTCTCCCGTCAATCCCAGAATCCCTTCCCGTTGTCTGTGCTGCTGATGCGAGTCCATTTGGGGAGGGGGCTCCTTTCCACGAAAGAGACACATCTGTGCACTCTTCTATTTTGGATGATCGGTTCTGAAGCTGAAAGGCTGTGAATGGAGTGTTGGGCCCATCCTGCCCCTTGCAGGAGGACTAATCTTTTGTGCTAAAGGATTGACACGTCTTGCAAATTTGAGGCTCTTCATTCTAGACTAAGCTTAAACCCATCATGGAATAGTTTATGTTTCCTTTTCATCGAGAGAGGTAGGACAGACTCAGGTGGGCAACCTCTTTCCTGCATCTCTGACTGGGGAGGAACTGCTTTCCTCGTAACGTTTTACTTCTGTAAAATAAAAAGGATATAATAGTTCACTTTAAGATACTATTTAAGTACCACGTTTCATTTGCTTTCTAATCTTCAGAGCAGCCTTCCCCAACTGCCGGGCCTGCTGTGCGATGCAACCATTAACTGGGCTACAGAGGGTTGGGATAACGCCAGAAAGACCCGGTGAAACTGCCCATTTAGCCCCCCATTTTAGGGGGTTGCTTTCTCACTGTGTCGGGGCAGGTATGGCGGATGTGGGGAGAGTCACATCCAGTCGCATGGAAGGGACGCAGGTTGGGTTCAGAGAATTTAAAATGTTTCCTTGGACACATTACTTCAATTTCCTTCATTGCACTGCAACTTCACGTGGCAAAGAGCAGCCCAAAACCTCTTCTGCGCTCTTCTGCACATGCGAATATCATCCCCTTGGTGGCTCGGAGGTGCGCCTCTCTTTGGAGCGTGTGGGGGTGTGGACCTCTTTCCCAACAGACC